TAGGTGAATTACTATGTGTCTAGAGGTTGTTCTTCTCATTTGATGTCTTGTGGGGGTTTTCTGAATCTCTTGTGTTTGGCTGGTCACATCTCTAGTGAGATGGGGAAAATTTTCTTGGATTATTTCCTGGAATATTTACTCTATGGTGTTCTCCATTTCCCTTTCTTCTGGGATACCAGTCAAGCGTAGGTTCAGCCTCTTGATATAATTGCACATCTCTTGTAGACTTGTTCTTTCTTTCTGAGTTTCTTTCTATGTTTTTTACAGATCTGGTTAATTCTTCGTTTTGGTCTTCAAGTTCTAAGATTCTTCTGCTTAATTAAGTTTGCTTTCTGTGGCTATTATCTTGTTATTTATTTCCTGGATGAAATTTTTTATTGCCAAAATCTCTGTTACAAGTTCTTTCAGTGTTGCATCTTGTCTTTTTGAGTCTTATCCACTCTTTCCATTCATTCTCTAATCCTTGTTTTATTCTGGGGTCAGTCGTTGCTGACTTCCATAGTTTGGGCTCTAAGGTCTGATTTTTTTTGGCATTTTCTCTTTGTTACACTGGGAATTACCTGTGTTCTTCCACTGATTTTTTTTTTTCCTCATTGATGACATATCTCTTTCATCTTCTTTAGTTTTGTTATTCAGTGGCAGTAAGGAAGGCTTTGACTTCTGATGTTTGCTCAGCACTCTATTCTCTTATCAGGGCTCTGAATTTGTTCTATTTTAAAACAGGGTTGTGGGTAGGAAGCTTTTGTGTCTTGTAGTTTTGATAGTCAAATAAGATGAAGGATGGGGAGCTAGGATTCAGAAGCTACTTGCAAATCTCAGTGTTCACTGATTGTTTTTTGGGTTTCCTGACACCCACTCCCCACCACCACTCTATATGACAGTGTAATGGGTATGTGTGTATACCCCTTGAGTCCAAGATACAGTAACAGCAATGAGAGGAATAGAGAATAGAATGAAAGATGGACAAAAATTTAAAAATAAAAAAACACAGAAATCAAAGCAAAAAACAATTACACACACACAAACTAAAACCAAAACAAACTGAAAAAAAGCCCAAAGCTGAACAAACAAACAAAAACTAGAAAAACCAAATGCACACATACACACCCACACACCCAACACGAAATGACAAAGAGGAAAAAAAGGAATTCAAATCAAACCCTCACACATACATTCACACAGAAATTCAACTAAAAATAGAAGAACAAAACAAAAAAACCTGAAAGATCAAACCCTGAAATGCACACTCATGCGCAAAAGAAAAAGAAAAAAAAATTTAAAAAGCAAACACACCAAAAAAATGCTCTCTTGTGGCAGGTTCTGTAATTGTTACTCTTAGCTGCTCACAGGTAAGTCCGTCTGTGGTGCTGTGGCCTCACCATGATGGGGACCTTCACCATCTCCCAAGTAACCACCCAGAGAAGGAGGAAGCAGCAGTGGGAGTGGGTGAAGCTCAGTCCTCCCCTCCCACTCTGGTATTTTCAGGGGATCCCCTCCGGTGAGGAGGTGCAGGATTGTCTCTTCCCCAGTTGCTGGTTGGGGGGTGCCCCAGCCATGTGAGTCTGATATTCAGGGGATTGCTGAGTAGCAGGAGGTTGGGTCAGCCCTGGACTCACCACTCATCTCTTCAGGGGTCTTCTGTGCCCTTTTCTGGTCACACCCTTTGTACTACAGCTAAATTGGGGTAAGGGGTAGGGCGCCTGAGACTCGGCACTCATCCTGTCCCTCCAGAGTTTGCACTTGCAGGATATTCCCTCTGGGTCACGATCAACCCCTGAATAGTTGATCTGCTGATTGGGTCTGTTGCTCCATAGTGAGCAAGCTAGAGCACATCCCCGCCCAGTTTTCAGGATGGTAGCAGGGTGCTTCTTTCGTCCTCTCCAGTGGGTCTCTGCCTCTGAGCTCCCTCACTGTGCACCCTCCTCAGCCCTTGTTGCCAGTGTCCGGCCAGGCACTGAATTGGTGAGGCAGAGCCTGGAGCCAACAGTCATTCCCAGCAGCTTCCTCCCAGGAAGGGCTTTGCTGATTTTTTAAAAAATGACGCTCAGCTTTTGTGCCCCAGGAAGGGCTAAGGTCCAAGCAGAGCAGCTGTGGCACCAGCCACTTCATCAGGGGAGCCCTGACCACTTGCTTCCAAGTCCCTACTCAGTAAGCCACTTGCACACCTACCTACTTACAGACATGTATGCAAAATTTTCCAAACACTCACTCACATACACTGGGACTCACATAGTTTTGACTGGCTCTGCTACCATCTTCCCAGAAGTTCCCGTATTTTCTTTTCTTTTTTTTTTTTATTTTTTGAGTTGGAGTCTCACTCCGTCACCTGACTGTAGTGCAGTGGCACACTCAAAGACACCCCAGCATCGACCTGCTGGGCTCCAGTGATCCTTCCACCTCAAGCCTTCCAAGTAGCCGGAGCTACAGGTGCATGCTCCCATGACCAAATAATTTTTTTTTAATTTTTTTTATTGTAGAGACGATGTCTCACCAAATTGTCCAGGCTGGTCTTGAACCCGCGGACTCAGGCAGTCCACTCACCTCAGCCTCCCAAGGTGCTGGGATTACAGGCTGAGCCATCAAGCCCAGCCCCTCATATTTTCTTAACCATTCTTCATTTTGAATGTTTTACGTTATTTGCAATCTGGATTTTTTTATTAGCAAATAAAAATCTGTGAATACTTAATAATTCTTTTCCTCCTTTTTTTTAAACTATTCCTTTATAACAGTTGCTGAGAATTGTATTACTAAATAAGAGATTAACCTTTTTATGGCACTTAGTATGTTTTTCTCTACTGCCTTCTAAAGAAAACTTAGCTCAGGCTTTGTGTGGTGGCTCACACGTGTAATTCCAACACTTTGAGAGACCAAGACAGGTGGATTACTTGAGCCCAGGAGTTTTAGACCAGCCTGGGCAACATAGTGAGACCTCGTCTCAACAAAAAAATAAAATAAAATCAGCCAGGCATGGTAGTGCATGCCTGTATTCCTAGCTACGCAAAAGGCTGAGTTAGAAGAATTGCCTAAACCCAAAAGGTTGAGGCTACAGTGAGCCATGATTGTGCCACTGCACTTCAGCCTTGGCAACAGAGCAAGACCCTGCCTGACTCAAAAAAGAGACAGCCTTTAATTTTCAATAGATAAAAATTATTAGATAGCCTTTAATTTTTTAAAAAGAAAACTTGGCTCAATCTGTAATTCCATTAATATTACAGGAATCTTTCATCACACTCTTGCCATCTTTTGGTGCAAGTTTAGTTGGTGAACATGGAATCTCACATTTATTTGCTTTGCATTTTTTATGCATTAGTAGATGTAAGTGCATTTACTAGTTCCTTTATTGAAGATTTACCATATGCCACTGTATTAGTTTCTTGTGGTTGCTGTAACAAATCTCCACAAACTTGGTGGCTTAAAACAACAGAAGTATATTCTCTCACGGATCTGGAGGCCAAAAGTCACAGTGTTAGTAGGGCTACATTCCTTTCAGAAACTCTAGAAGAGAATCTATTCCTTTACCTACCCTTCTAGTCTTCTGGCTTTGGGCATGCTTTGGCTTGTGGCCACATTTCTCTCTGTTCTGTCTTCACATAGCTCCTTCCCTTGTATCCCAAAATTCCCTCTCTTATGAGGTTATAAAGAAATGGGTTAATTGCATTTAGGCACCATCTAATCCAGGATAAGCACCTCCCCTCAAAATCTTAATTACAGCTTTTGCCATATAAGGTAATGTTTACATGAATGTGAATGTGTCTTTTGTGGGAACACCACTAGCCTACTACAGCCACTTACAATGATGTACAATCTTTGCAAGAGAAAAGACAGCTAAACAAAATAATTACAGTGAAATCCTATGGGTTCTATAACAGAGCTCTCTGCTCAGGGGCCTGAGATAGCTTGAAGGAGCAAGCGGGTGGTCAGTTTCATAGGAAGGTAAATAGGGAGGTTTGGAAAACCCTCTTTAGAAGTGGTGATATTTGAATGGGTCACTAAAAGGTGTTCATAATGTAAGAGATTTGAGACTGAAAATAGCAGGAGTGTTTGGTTATTTGTAGTATGGCTAGAAATGGATGGGAGGTTTGGTGAAAATTGAAAAGAGAAATGATGATGCTTCCTGCAAAATAATGAAAGGATAGTTAATCCAGTGAAATTGGCTAAATATCTGGTTCACTTCTTCACATGTCTTTGTCTAAAATAGAGGTTCTTTAGGACCTTTTGAACATTCTAAGCGTGGTAGTGATGAACTGTGATTAGCTAGAGTAAACTAATGTGAAATATATCTTGTTACAAGATGTATGTTAGGAATGCATTCCTCTCCAAGTAACAGAAAACCCAAATAAGAATGGCTTACAGAGTCTGGGCACAATGGCTCATGCCTGTAGTCTCAGCACTTTGGAAGGCCAGAGAGGGTATGTAGCTTGAGGCCAGGAGTTTGAGACCATCTTGGGTAACATAGCGAGACCTCATCCATCTTAGGATCACCAGAGCCCAAGAGGTTGAGGTTGTCATGAGCCATGATCGTGCCACTGCACTCCAACCTGAAAAAAAAAGAATGGCTTAAAGAAAAGTAAAAGCTTTACCTAGAAACCTAGACCTGCATTTACTTTTCATTGTCTAGAATGCAGTTGGAGTTAAATAACTATTTCTGTCATGGAAATGGATGTTAGGTTAGCCAGACAGCTGTGTCTACCACACAGGTATGTTTACCAAGGATTGTTTCTTCTTCAAAAACTGATGACTTTCTGAGAGTACATTAGTAAAGAACTAAACTTTTGTGAAAATTTTTATTTTAAAACTGATTCTCTTAAATTTGAATTTGAAGTTGCAAATTTTAAAATTGTGAAGATTTTTTAAACTTTTTACTGTGACCATGAAAAACTATAATGACATGAAATTTTTAAGCTGGAAGCTATCTTGGATCATTCAGTCTCTTTCATGCTATTAGCATTTGTAAGGTAAATGAAATGTTTTCTTAAATTTTATTTTCTTATTATTTTTAGGAAAGAGACATTAATCTTTCCCACACCAGTGAATCTCAAACAGTGAGAAAGTTTGATACTTCCATTTCGTTTCCACCAGTAAATTTAGAAATTATAAAGAAGCAGTTAAATACTAGGTGAGTAAGAATTCATTTTTAAACTTACATTTGTCCTAGACATCTAATAGTGAAGAAATGGCACTGCATTCTCTTAAGTTATTAAATATTAATGTTAAACAGATTTGTAGAAAAAAATAGCATCTCCTGTGCTACCATTCTAACACAACTGATCTTATTTTTGTATATAGTAGTCCCCTCTTAATCTGCACTTTTGCCTTCTGCAGTTTCAGTTACCCATGGTCAAACCATAGTCCAAAAATATTAAGTAGAAAATTCCAGAAATAAACAATTCACATGTTTTAATTGCACACTATTCTGAGTAGTGTGCTGACATCTTGAGCTGTCCTCCTGCATCCCGCCCAGGACAGGAACCATCCCTGTGTCCAGCATCCCATGCTCTCTAAGCTACCTGCCTTTAGCCACTTCGTAGCTTCCTTGGGTGTCAGATTGACAATTTTGAAGTGCTTGACTTCAAGTCATCTTTATTTTACTTAATGCCCAAAATGCAAGAGTACTATGCCTAATTTACAAATTAAACTTTGTCACAGTTATGTGTAGGAAAAAAACATAGCATATATAGTATATATAGGGTTTGGTACTGGTTTTAGGCATTCACTGGGGGTCTTGGAACATATTCCCATGGGGGGGGGGACTGTTGTATATCTTTTTAGTCTTTACACCAGATATATATTGTATGGCTAAAATCAGTAAATATAAAATTCTACCTTTTTTTCTTAATATAGTTATAAATATTTTTTATGTTATTAGATAGCTTTTAATTTCTTAAAAGCTATCATGTTTGTGCATATAGTTGTAATTATTTCAAAATTAGACATTTTGAACTAGAACAGGAGCCAGTAGACCTTTTTTTTTTTTTTGGAGTCTCACTCTGTCGCCCAGACTGGAGTGCAGTGGCCGCCCCCGGCCACTGCAGCCTCAACCTGCTGGGCTCCAGCGATCCTTCCGCCTCAGCCTTCCAAGTAGCTGGACCCGGCTAGTTTTTTTTTTTATTTATTGTAGAGATGAAGTCTTGCCAAGTTGCCCAGGCGGGTCTCGAACCCGCGGGCTCAGGCAATCCACTCACCTTAGCCTCCCAAAGGCGCGGGATTCCAGGCTGAGCCACCGAGCCCGGCTACTTTTTTTTTTTTTTTTTTTTTAAGAGAGCCCAGTGGAAATTAATCATCTTTGTTAATTAGCCTCTGAAGTCTTACAGCATCACTGGCTTTTTTTTTTTTTTTAAAGGCAGGATAGTAAATATTTTAGGCTTTAAAGTCTAGATAGTTGCTGTTATGACTATTCAACTCTTACGTTATAGCACAAAAACAGCCAAAGACGATGCATAAAACAAGCATCAGCTGGGCATGGTAACTCACACCTATAATTGCAGCACTTTGGGAGGCTGAGGAGGGAAGATCACTTGAGTCCAGGAGTTCAAGACTGGCCTGGGCAACATAGCGCAACCTCATCCCTACAAGATATTTAAAAAAAAAAAAAAAAAAAAAATCAACCAGTCGTGGTGGCGTGCACCTATAGTCTCAGCTACTTGGGTGACTGAGGCAGAAGGATCATCTGAAGCCGGAGAGGTCAAGGCTGTGGTGAGCTGTCACTGTGCCACTGGGCTACAGAATGAGACCCTGATTCAAAAAAAAAAAAAAAAAAACACAGCTGTGTTCCAGTAAAACTTTATAAAAACAGAGTGGGCTAGTAGTTTGCTAACCCTCTGGAATATAGAGATAACCTTGTGTGAGTGATAGAATATAAAAAAGGCAACAGATCACTGGTTTAGAGTAGCATTTTATCTGAGTAACTTTATAGTATTGTATTTTTATTTAACTAGATTTTTTATTTTAAAAAGAAAATACATTCTCATCGTTTCAAAAAAATCAACTAATGCAAAGGATATACAGAGAAATGAAATGAAATTACCTTTCCTAGACGAAACCATTCCTACCAGCGTCTTATGTTTTCTTCTAGAAGTGGTCTATACATACAACTATATGTGCACATGCATATTTATATATTCCCTTATTTTTTATACAACAAAAGATCACATTGTATGCATATGTCCTGTTCTGTATCTGGGAGGCTGAGACAGAAGTTTTGCTTAAGCCCCAGAGTTCAAGGTTTCAGTGAGTTGTACTTGAACCACTGCACCCAGCCTGAGTGTCGGAGTGAGACATTATCCCTAAAAAATAATAATAATAAAAATATATGTCTGATTCTAATCCACATTCTATGAATGTGTTATTTTATTTGTAGTTAGTTCTCAGATTTTAAGGCATTCACAAAGTCAAATATTAGAGAACACATTTCAGATATTTTTAAAGAAATACTGTTTCTTATTCCTCCCTTGGCATATATGTATGAAGAATAATTGAATTTTAAAAGCTAAATGGTCATTAAATTGTTTTTGACAGTTTTCTCAAGTAACATCAGCTGATATATGTGGTATTTACAAGAGCTGAAAAAAATGGCTGTCTTTAGTAGAACAGCAGCATATAGGGAAATGTAACAGCAGCAATGAAATGGAATGTACCTCAAGGAACATCAAATTCTAGTGGCAAGTAAAACAGAAGCCATTATGAAGCACAAAGCAGATAAATTATGCTAAACCACAGCATGCTCAAATGGTTTTAATACCAGCTCATTCAGATGCCTGTATTCTAAGTAAAACCACAAATTGATTTAACAGTAACACCACAAGGACTCTTATATTTCAAATATAGGACCATTGATTGTTTTTGCAGCTTACTTGGTTTATAAATTCTGATTTTAAAAAAAATTCTAATCAATCTTGGCCTAAAACCACACTCATTAACTTCTACTCTAAAACTACCCTATGCTTAGCTCTATGTGCTCTTTTCTACTTTTCCTCTTTGAGACTTTTATTGTGATGTTCTCCTTTTCTTAGCAAGTCTAATAAACCCAAATTTATATGATTCTCCGTTTCTTTGGTGAAAAAAGTTTGAAAAGTAAAATAATTTTTTTCTATTTATTTAGATTAACATTACTGCAGGAAACTCACCGCTCACACCTGAGGGAATATGAAAAATATATACAAGATGTCCAGAGCTCAAAGAGTACAATCCACAACCTAGAGTGTTCATCAAATCAAGCTCAAAATTATAAATTCTATAAAAGCATGAAAATGTATGTGGAAAATTTAATTGACTGCCTAAATGAAAAGGTACATATAAATGTTTATTTATATAATTTCCTTTTGGGGGGCGAAAACTCCTTATTACACACTTAAGGAAAGTCTAAACCTCATAATTCAATACTTTTCTCCAGTATTTTTCCTACATATTTTAACATACTGTGATATTAAGTATTCCCTTAATATTGGACACTTAGGTTTTTTGCAGTTGCTTTGCTGTTAAAAGTAACATTGTGTATAATTTTGTGTATACATTTTTGATAAAATGTTGTCTGTTTAAGAAAAATTACTAGAAAATGAAATACAAATGAATTAAGTCTAAACTTACCTTTTTTTGTAGGCTGCAGGCAAGAGCCACAGTGCCTAATTATTGTAGAGATGAGGTCTCACTATGTTGTCTAGGCTGGTTTTGAACTCCTGAGCTCAAGCAATCCTCTCACTTCAGCTTCCCAAAGTACTGGGATTAGAGGCATAAACCATCATGTCTGGCCAAATTTATATTTTTAAGGCTTATGAAACATATTGGCAAACTGTCCTTCAGAAACATTGCTAGTTTTATAAGTTTACTAGATTAGGAAAAATGTGTTTTGTTTTTATGTATTGTATTTTAATCTCAAACAAACCCTTTGTTTCATTAGCTGTATGTAATATTTTGTCTTGTGAGTTATTGGTTTGTCTCCTTTGCCCTTTATTTTGGTTCTTAGTGAGGATTTTTTTTTTAATTTTTAATTTTTTTAGAGATGAAAAATTCTTTATAGCTTACAACTTGTAATGCTTTATCCTACTTGATTTAAATTTTCTAGTTTGCTTTGTCTTTTGGTTTTGTTTGTGATCGTTTTCTAGCATTCAGATGTTTTGAAATTTTTGTGTTAACAGATTTATGAAGCCTTCACTTTTAGTTTCTGTTTTTCTTTGATGCATCCTAAGTTCTTACATTGGGGTCTTCTGTTGTCCTTTTTAAAAAATAAGTTAACTATTTCAAAATAAATTATAATTCTACTATGTTATTTTTTATTTATAATTAAAATGTTGCTAAACAACTGAACATTCTATGTCACTTGGTAGTTACTTTCTGAAGTATGTATTACATTGCAGTTGTTTTCTTCATTCATCCTGTAAGAATTACACTGGTAAAATTACACTGTTAGCAGGGTGCAAAAAGGTGGCTCATGCCTATAATCCCAGCACTTTGGGAAGCAGAGGTGAGAGGATTGCATGAGTCCAGGAGTTCAAGACGGGCCTGAGAAACGGTGAGACCTCTTCTCCACAATAAATCAAAAAATTAAATTAGCCAGGCATGGTGGCGCATACCTGTAGTTCCAGCTACTTGGCAGGCTGAGGTGGAAGGATCACCTGAGCCCAATAGGTCGAGGCTGCGGGGCCGTGAACAGCGTGCTGCTGCACTCCAGCCTGGACTGCAGAGTGAGACTCTGACTCCAAAAAATTTTAAAAATTAGCTGGGTGTGGTGGTGCACACCTGTAGTTCCAGCTACTTGGAAGGCTAAGGCGGAAGGATCTCCTGAGCCCAACAGGTCGAGGCTGCAGTGGCCATGAGTGTGCCGCTGCACTCCAGCCTGAGCTGCAGAGTGAGACTCTCACTCAAAAAAAAAAAAAAAGTGGCACTGTTAAAATCTTATCAGCCTACATATTGATGTATCCATAGAAGTAAATGTGAAAAAACTGAGAGTAGAAGGAATTGTAGGCCAAAAAATAGGAGAGTTCCAATTTCAACAAGTTCTGAATTCAGCTAGTCTCTCATTTCTAAATCACAACTTTCTTACATGCCTCAGGTCGTTTCTTTCTCTAGCTTTTCAGATTTCACCAGCTCCTTCAAGTACTCCCCTACTGCCCACCCCCTCAGCCTGGGAAAAGAGCTGCATTCATCATTTCTTCCCGTTCTGTCTCAAAGAAGAATTCTTCCTTTTATCTGTTACCCTTATCCATGTTCCTGTCTCCATCCCGTTTGGTTTCATTATCTATGATGTTTATAGCTGTTCTAGTACAGTTAAGTTGATTTTGGTTTTGGGGGGGATTTTTTTGAGTTGGAGTCTCACTCTGTCGCCCAGGCTGCAGTGCAGAGGCATGCTCCCGGCCACCACAGCCTCAACCTCAACCTACTGGACTCAGGCGATCCTTCTACCTCAGCCTTCCGAGTAGCTGGAACTACAGGCACACCCCACCATGCCTGGCTAATTTTTTGATGTATTGTAGAGATGAGGTCTCTCCAAGTTGCCCAGGCTGGTCTCTAACCTGTGGACTCAGGTAGTCCTTTCACCTCAACCTCCCAAAGTGCTGGGATTATAGGCGTGAGCTACACGCCTGGCTGTTTTTTTGTTTGTTTGTTTGTTTGTTTGTTTGTTTGTTTGTTTGTTTGAATTGTAGTCTCACTCAGTCACCCAGACAAGAGTGCAGTGGCCGCTCCCGGCCACCGCAGCCTCGCCTGCTGGGCTCCAGCAATCCTTCCACCTCAGCCTTCCAAGTAGCCGGAATCCTGGCTGTTTTTTAATATTAAAAGTATTGACAGCTAAGTCTGTTGCTCACAGTGTTTTATAATTGAGATGTGATAGTATTAGAAATTGTTTATATGAAAATCGAGCATATACATATCTCCTGATGCAAAATGTTACTTACATATGTGTTTCAGATTATCAACATCCAAGAAATAGAATCATCCATGCATGCACTCCTTTTAAAACAAGCTATGATCTTTATGAAGCGCAGGCAAGATGAATTAAAACACGAATCAACGTATTTACAACAGTTATCACGTTAGTGTTTTTCATGTTAAATATGATTTGTTATTCATTAAGCTAAATGATCTGAAGAATAAAATTGTTTTTGTTCTGTATAAAAATTTTTTTGTGTATTTTCCCACTAACCCTTTACCCACCCAGTTCCAAAAACTCAAAACATTTAGAAGTAAGATTTCAAAATGTCATAAATTAAGACTAAAAAATAAATATCGTAATGCTAAGTCTTTAGTATTTGAGACAGCATATTTAAATGCTATATAAGGAATTATATGGTTAAAGTCACATAATTCTATTGACACTGCCTGAGAACTATATAGTTTTCAAAACCCATCCACAGATTGGTTTTGGTGAGTTTTAGTATAAATGTATCTATAATGTCTCACTGTATAAGGTTTGGATGCTTCCTTTTATTTCATATTGGTTTTGTATTTTCAGAGATGTCTTTCTCTGATTAAGGCACTACCAGGAGAGAGTGAAAGACCATATCCAAGTAGATGATGCAAACAAAGTCAAAGTTACTTTCAAACACATGACATTTAGTGGCATCGAAATAATGGTACATATTAAAATAAATAATATGAGTAAAATATAGTAGTCCCTCTTAATCTACAGTTTTGCTTTTCACAGTATGTCACCTACAATCAACCATGGTTCAAGTATAAATGAGTACAGTACAATAAGATATTTTGAGAGAGAGATATATTCATATCTTATGATCAGTATATTGTTATATTCTGTTTTATTATTTTTGCTAATCTCTTAGTGTGCCTAATTTATAAATTAAACTTTATTGTAGCTATGTATGTATAGTATACATAGGGTCTGGTACTATCTGCAGTTTCAGGCATCCACTGGGAGTCTTGGAATATATCTTCTGAATATAAGGGGGGATTGCTGTATTGACAATGCAAATATTTCTAGCGTTTGTCTATGGAGAAAACTGATGAAAACTACTGAAAAACAATATGAGGAAGAGAAACTTTGTAGAAATTCTTTTCTATTTTCTTTTTTTTATTTTATTTTTTTTTTGAGTTGGAGTCTCACTCTGTTACCCAGACTGGAGTGCAGTGGCCGCTCCC